GCTTTATGTTATGGCTGCATCATTCTTTCAATGTGTTTTGTTAGATATTGGAGACGCAATTGAAATATTTTAGGGTAGAGACGAGAGATCGCCATTGATTTTGAGAGCACACCATTCTATACCAGATCCTCTTCTTTTTCAAATAGCGGTCATTGTGAAGCTTTGTTGCTTATATTTTTAAATCAAAAGAAGCCATGGGAACCAAAGTATAACAACTATGAGTCATCTTCTTTAGAGAGAGAGAGAGAGAGAGAGAAGACACCGCTAGAGCTTCTTTTTCCTCAGTCATGGTAACACTAAATGTAGTTACTGTCATAGAACATTCTGGTTTTTGGTAAATGTTATTAGTGCAGTTGTCAAACCCATTATAAATGTTGTCAATCACATTATTTTGCAATAAATTGACTTTTGTAGTCTAAATGACAAGAAAATATCATAGATACTGGTTTAATCTTAATGTTAACTTGTTATTTAAATATATTTAATGTAGCATCTGTCATAGACTTATTGGTTTTTTGTAAATATTGTCATTTTAGTGGTCAATTCCATTATACATGTAGTAAATTATGAAAGTTATTGATATCATGTTTATTATGATGTTTTTCTAGTATACTTGTATACTAATTTGTCAACACATTTTGACCCTCGTTTAATTCCCCCAAAGGCTAGACTTAAAACAGGTTGCAAAAATTGCTATAATAATTTTTATTACGCAAGTTATCATTCCCATTACATGTTTAATAAAGTTGTCTGTAAATGAATTAAAAATAGGTTGCAAATAATCAAGTTACAAGTCGCTTGATGGAAATGGTAACTTGTATTATGCAAATTGTCATTTTCGTTACTTGTTTTGTAAAATAATATGTAAATGACTTAAAACAGGTTGCAAAAAGCATTATGTAATTGGTATCTTTCATTACACAAATTGTCATTCGCGTTACATGTTTAATAAAATTTATTTATGCTCCTCCCAAAATAAAATAGGAAAAATCTCATATAAATACCTATTAAATTCTAAAATTTTAAGTCATTCTAATTTGTACATTTTGACAAATTACCCCCATGCCCTCTCTTTCACTCAACTAGGGATTCATACAACTTGTGTGATGAAAGTTATCAGTTGCATAACAAATTTTGCAATCTGTTTAAAGTTTTACAAAACAAGTGACATAAATGACAACTTATGTAAGGTTACCATTTTTTTTAGAGATCTGCAACCTGTTTATTTGTAACCCAATTTTAGTCCATTTAAAAAAATTTTGTTAAACATATAACGCGAATGACAACTTATTACGTAATGAAATATACTAATTGCATAATGATTTTTACAACCTCTTTTAAGTCACTTATATATTATTTTACAAAACAAGTAATGAAAATGAGAACTTGCATAATGCAAGTTACCATTTTCATCAAGCAACTTGTAACTGGATTATTTGCAACCCAATTTTAGTTTATTTGCAGACAACTCTATTAAACATGTAATGGGAATGATAACTTGCATAATAAAAATTATTAAATGCATGGCAATTTTTGTAACCTGTTTTAAGTCTAGCCTTTGGGGGAATATTAAACGAGGGTCAAAATGTGTTGAAAAGTTAGTATACAAGTACACTAGAAAAACATCATAATAAACATGATATCAATGACTTTCATAATAAACATGATATCAATGACTTTCATAGTTTACTACATGTGTAATGGAATTGACCACTAAAATGACAATATTTATGAAAACCAATAAACCTATGACAGACGCTACATTAAATATATTCAAATAACAAGTTAACATTAAGATTAAACCAATATCTATGATATTTTCTTGTCATTCAGACTACAAAAGTCAATCTATTGCAAAAGAATATGATTGACAACATTTATAATGGGTTTGACAACTGCACTAATAATATTTACCAAAAACCAGAATGTTCTATGACAGTAACTATATTTAGTGCTACCATGACTAGGGAAAAAGAAGATCTAGCGGTGTCTTCTCTCTCTCTCTCAAGAAAATGATGCATAGTTGTTATACTTTGGTTCTCATGGCTTCTTTTGATTCATAAATATAAGCAACAAAGCTTCGCAATGGCCTCTATTTGAAAAAGAAAAGGATATGTTATAGAATGGTGTGCTCTCAAAATCAATGGCGATTTCTCTTTTCTACCATAAAATATTTCAACTGCCTCTCCAATGTCTAACAAAACCCATTGAAAGAATGATGCAACCATGGCATAAAGCAATTTCTCATACAAGCTGTGGCTCTACCTTGAAAAAGACGATGAAGAGAGAGAAGATAAGGAAATGAGAAAAAGAACATGAAGGTAATTGGCCAAAATTTGCAAATTCCAATTTAATACCTGTAGGCTTATTTGTTTTTTGTGAAATTAGAGTGACTTATTTGGGATTTTAGAATTCGATAGGTATTTATATGGGATTTTTCCATAGTTATTTGTCATTAAATTTGACCATTAAGAGATCGGTTAAATTAGATAATAAATAGCTTTTAGGAGTTCTTTGGTGATCATGCTCTTCACAATTTATATATTATATATGTAGTCACGTAAATTCATACAATTAAAAGGGTTGTAGCTCCTTGTCCTTTGCGATGCTTTAATAATAATTTTAAAGTGACGCTTTGTTGTGAACGTTAATTATAGTGAAGGGTGAATTTGAAATGTTACGTATTTTTAATAGATTAACATATATTTTTAGTCTTTTTAAATTAGAAGAAAAAACAATAAAATACTCTAAAAATTATTAAAAATGGGTCAATTTCAAAATCTTAATGCAAACCCTTAATTTTTAAATCGTGTGAAATTATGCAAATGTTTTTCATTATTTTTTCTTTTTTGTTTTTAAACATTGTAATCTCAGCACTCTAAGTCGATTTCCTACTATTGGAGCTCCAACGCTAATGACCTTGCTGGTGGCTAGCTGCCGAAGCTCCAGTGACATGTTACTAGAACTCTAATGACCGGTTGCTAGAGCTTTGGTGCTACTCTATCTTATGTATTGATTACTTTTTTTTTAAGCTATTGACTATATTTGTTTTTAGAATTTTGATAACCACTCATATTTAGCTACTAACTATTCTAGTATTATGATTGAGTACTTTCATTTCTAAAAGTTTAGTGTCTACTCTTATTGAACTATTGACTACTTTAGTTTTCTTATTGATCACTTTTGTTTCAAAAATTCAAAAAATATATTAAGTGTTGTTGGAGATTTAGTGACTACTTTTTGTTTAGTTATTTATTACTATTATGTAGTTAATAGCTATACAAAAGTAGTCATCGAAACTTTAAAAACAAAAATAATCAATAGTTAAACTAGAGTAATGAATAGTTATATGAAAATAGTCATTAAGAGTAAAGATAACATTGTCATTTCATAATATTTTAAAATTCTAAAATAGTATAAAGGGTTTGATTTGGAATTTTAAAATTCACCCTCACTAATTTGTTTCTTAGTATTTTTAAGAGTATTTTAGTATCAAAAGAAAAAAGAAAATCAAATTCGATTCAAATCGATGTGAACGTCAATTTTAAGCACTAACAGTTTCTGACCCAAAAAGGGTACTAACGGAAAACAGTAGCAGGTTTTACAAATTTAGCTTATTACGCACCTGACTTTTAATTATCAGATAACTTATAAATATGCAAGTTTGATTTGTAAATAGATTTTTTTTTTGGGAGCCTCTAAATTTAATTTTTCACGGGAATTACGAGCAATTTTCCCAACATATATGCATTCTTTGAAATAATTAATTCTCTGAATAAAACATTCACATACATTGCAATTTCTCAACATTCTAAATTTTTTTAAATTAAAAATTGTTTCAAAAAATCTTTTTTTTTTTAATTTTTACATAATAAAATTACAGTTTTATTCCTTATACAGTAGTAGTTCAATGTGCCAATAATAGTAAGTAAAAATAAAAATGAGTTAATATAATTTTTTATTCCTCAAATTTATTCTTATTTTAGTTTTGACGCTTCAAATTTCAAACTACATATTTTGACCCCTCAAGTTTCTTTTTATTTAAATGTTAGTCCCTATAATTCAATAAAAATCTAAATTATTTTGTCATTTAAAGACCAAAACTTATTATTTGAAACTTGAAAGACCAAAACCAAAATAAAGAAAAAAACAATTAAAAGGACTAGAACTTATAAAATGTAAAATACATACCAACTATGAAATATATTTGTCAGGGAAATCGTGTGAATGTATAGCCAAGAGTGAGCTTAATGGATTCAGTTTAGTTGAAGATCAAACTCAACACTATGCGGAGCTAATTGCAGAATGATGCCATTGTCCCAACCGAAATTTTATCTGAGAGCACAAAGATGCTCTTACGATGTTGAGGATCTATTTACCTGTTCTACATATCCTCTGCCAGGGCAGAAGGTAAATTGAGATAAGATGAAAAGGAATGCCCAGTACACCCTAATTCGTTATTAAATCTTTCATGCACAGCCTTGTCAGCCATCTTTTTAAGCAAGGAGTAGGATAACTTGCTCTTCTGTCGAAGAACTCGAGGGCCAAGAGTAGCGGAACATGTGACTCGGGAAAACAATAGTTAAATTACCAAAGCAACTAAATTAATTATTCTAGTGATGAAAATGACATTAAGTGTACAAATGGATATTATGCTTTATGAGGCCCCAGCTAAATAACAGCGAATATGGTGCATCATTGCTGTGTATTGTTGTGCCGTCAGGATGAAAGAATTGCAGGTCAAAAACAAGTAACCTTTGGCTCTAAGAAAACTTGCATGTAACAAGTTCAACTATACATGTACATAATTTCACCATGGCATCCAAAGATCAAACTCTATTGGAAAAAGAACAAGCCAGAGCATGCACTAACTGGTAACGACTCTGTTAAGTTACAGGAAATATGTGACAAAATTGATTCATATTGGTTAACTCCGCATTCGTTTTCGCCGAATATCCTCCTCGTTGGTGCCCTACGCTCAAAAAAAGTTACTTTTAGCCCAATAAAGCCTGAAGAACATGATTTATCACCGCATCAAAAAGAAAAGGCGGAACGCCAGGTGTACCATGTCAAAAACTAAACTACCATAAAAATTTACTGGTCTTTGACATTCATGCCTATGAATTATAAGTGCATCCCGCTTAAACACAATCCAATCTGATGTTATATGAAAAGTAAACATAGGCATCATCATATTCCGACATAACTTCAGTTAAGAATGAACACAAAAGAGAGCAAGAAGAGTCAGACACCTCTTTGAGGAGGATTATATTTTAGGGCTATACGTGTTAATTCAAAATTAGTTAGACTCAACTATGAACAATCAAAATATCATGTCCCAAAACTAATATGTGCAATTCCAGTACTAACAAGCAGCAGCACAGGTCCCTAGATGGATGTAGACTACATAAACATTCAAATCATCATGCACTGGGGAGTAGTCCAATGCATCGTTACCATCAGTGCCAGTTCCTAGCTGTTGCATTAGAGTAATATGGGAGTATACTCTTAAAATTGCCTACTTTGGACATTTACGGAGGGACGCCCTAGCATATCCCAGAAACATATTATTGACAATTTTATGCTGGCCTGAAACCCATATATTTTGCAGAAGTTAGAAGTTAAAATCAAAACAGAGGCAGAATTGGCAAAACAATGCCCAGCAGCCCAGAGAGTCCTGAAGATCAATGCATTAATCAAGGAATTCCCAAATCAAAGCAAACTCAGAAGTAATTGTTGATAATCTAAAGAAGTTAAAATTGATAGGCAGATGAATAGCAAAGGAACAGAATGAGAATATATACCCTTTCATCCAGTCCATTATCTTCGGATGGGACCACACTTGACTCAGATCTGCACTTCGCATGAACAATGGGGCCTAACTGCGACCTATCCATGCCTGCTACTGTTCCCTTCGGTGCATTGTTATACACAGCTCCTCTGTACATCCATTCCTCAGTTTCATCACTGTAAAACTCATCGAAAGGCTCACCACATAATGCACATGTATTCTGATCCTCATCAGCTGGCACAGCCAACTCTTCGTCATCCCTTTTTTCCTCTAAAATCTCACTTGGCAAAAAACCAGGGACTGATTCTGTTCCCAATGCCTCTGCACCACTAAGCCACATACTCTCACTCACAAACCACTTGCGAGAGGGCTTCTGCTTATGGTTTTTAGACATCCGGTTCTTAGTAACATGCCAATCCATATGACTACTGTGCTCCTCTTGGCACTTGAACCGAAGGCCACAAGTAGTGCATTGTCTAGGAAGATCGCCATATAAGGCATTGATTGCAGACTCATGACGAATCTTTAGAACATCTGGATTAAACTCAGTTCCAACAGAATCCTAAAAGTTGGATATCTTTAGTTTAGATAGGTCCTTTCAGACGAGCAACAAAATCTAAAAATGAAAGAAGAAACGCAAAGTATATGCAAATAAGACAGATACCTGTTTGGCAGGCTGATTAGTCAATGATATCAAACCTTGGGCCATAAGTGAATTAATCAAACCAGAAAATGCACCACCTGGTTGTTGGCTTGACCCAATAGGACCAGCATTTGAATGAGGTATTGTTAGTGACATAGCTGGATGGGAGACTGGAGGTAAAGGCATCAAGTTTCCCCCCCGTAATTGAGAAGAGTTATTTGCAATGTTTTGGACTGGAATAGGGAATTGTACGGCAGGAAGTGAGTTTAGCATGGCTGTACTTAGAGCATCAGTATGTCCTAGCAAAGAGCTTCCATGACTAAACTGCAAAGCTGCTGGAGCTTGTGATCTAAGTAACTTCTCTTGCACATCTGGAGAGTGAAAAATTTGTGGTGCTTGTCCATGGTTTTTCTGGTTAAATGGAATCTGCCCAGCTAGCTGGGTTGGCAGCTGATGCAGCTTTGATAAACCTGTAACCTTGTTCTCAACACTGTCCAAAAACGAAGAATTATTTTGACCATTATTTACAATGCTGCTGCTAGCATGTATTGGCTCAAACTGACTCTTAACATGTTTATCCAAGGGAAATGTATGGTTTAAGGTTGGAGGACGAACAGCATGAACATTAACTGGGGGCCTCATTCCAAGAGATGCTGGTAAAGCTGTTGGACGAATCTCCACATTAGATTCAAGGGCGGAACCCATTCTAGACAAAGCAGACCGCGTCCCATATGGGTTTATATCACTATTTTGAATGTTACTGACAGGAGATATCTGAATGTTGCTTGCTCGACCTCTAATATTCCAAGCATCAAGAGGTGGACGGGAGCTTAAGCCTCGGTTTGTCTGATTTTGGTATCCAGATGCCTTAACTGGTGATCCACGGCCATACTGCAGATGGAATAATTAATCTTTCAATCCATCAACAAAATATAAGAAAGTCCCATTCCCTTCTAATTTATATCCCTTCTAATTTATACTAAAAGAAAGTGAGTTTCATGGTGATAATAAAGAGCTCAACCAAATATAAAACTATTAAGAATCTACAGCAAGGTATGAAATTTGAAAGCATTGAGAAAGTATAAGATACATGGGACTATGATGTGGGGTCGATAGGGACCCTAAGCTCTCTAACCATCATTAGCTAGATTTCTGGGACACGACTCTCCCAAACGTTTCCTCATTAGAAGCTCACAAGAACTTGTATTGTTAATAACCAAAAGCTGTGAATAAGCAATTTACCAATATTCCCTAACATAATGCTAAATCCTAAAGGGAAATCAAATGAAGAAAATAAAAAAGAGGAGTTAAAAGGAAAAACAAAAGGCATGTCATCAAAAACATATGAATGAATCTAGAGTATTTGGTTGAACTTCCCCAAATAAAACAATCAACATCTTCAACGTCACAAATTTAACATTAGATCTAGTGGCATAAACAGTGTCTGATTAGTGACAAACATCATAATAAAGTTAAAAAGGGTATCATCTTAAACTGAAAAGCTGGAAGAATCACACAGAAAAGTTGAAGAAGCATACACTTGAATAAACAAATTTATCTCCAGCTATGACAGAGGAATCGTCCATTGGTGGTAGCTGCGACCGACTAGACCAACTTCGCCTAGTATTTCGCTCTGAAGTAGCCGCACTAATAACAGGCTTTTCCCTGGAGAAACCAATACTTGATGGTAAGAAATCATTATTCCTACTATGGTCTGCTAATGTTGGACTCATATCTTCCCAATCAAATTCCTCCTCTTCAGTGTTTTGCCATGATGCTGACACAACTTTGTTTAAACCATTTATGTCCTGACGTTCAACAAACAAAGGCTTATTATTGAAGGTTTCATCATTTTTATCGCTCCCATATGCATCTATTAAAGCTTTAAGATTTTGACGCTGATGCCCATTACTAAGACTACCCGACATAGAAACTTGAAACTGGTTCCGACCATCATCAGTATGATGTTTTGGTTCACACCCACTCAACTCTTCACCTCTACTTCCTGCTTTACCAACTCCATAATCAAATGCAGGATGAGAAAGAGGATCTCTCTCTACTATCCGGCTAGAAGAATTGTCAACTGCACACTCATCTTTGGTTGCTGAAAGAGGCCTATCAAGTCTGATTCCTGAAGGCAAAGATCTCCCAAGCCTGCTAGATAAAGGTTGATGCATCTTAGCTCCACGGCCAAAATTTGCAAGACCCAAATTTACTGTTGATTCCAATTTTTCATCTCCAACCTGCAAGAACAAGAACATCCTTTCAAAATGCCACACATCACACCCATATCCAGGTTTTTCTTTGCCCAGATAGGTTTGATGACATTTCTACCGCATGCTCAATATTCAGCAGCAATCGCTTTGTCCCATCAAAGCATAAATCTGCCAGTACCCCCCCCCCCACATTAACTAAATGAAGAAGGGAAAGGGGAAATTAATAGAACACACCAGAAGTAAAAATGTACAAAATGTCAGTTTTCATATGTCTAAAGAGAAACCAATGACACAAACAAGTAACAGATTCTTTTCCTTGTTAACAATACGTTTAGATTTAACATCGCCTCCAACTCATTCTACCTCAGAATCACAGGTGCTATGAGCAATGTAATACATTATGTACCAGATGCTCATGGCATTCCCCAATGATCAAGTTGCAATCTTGTCCATGCACATTATGTAAAGGCTTCAGTGGTTTCATTTGGGGGGGAAAAAAGCTTACACTATCTATAGAAGAATGTTCCAACTGCTGCAAGTACTTCGGATTGATATGTATGCCATGAGTTGCTTGACGAGATTCAGACGCCCTAAGGGGATCAGAGATAGATGAACGACTATTAACTGCTTGAGAAAACTGGAGTTTAGCTTCAATCTTGCGTAGGACAGAAGGTGGGAAAACATTTGACCAGGTGCCAAAGAGACGGCGCATATCATTATGCAGCTTAGGATGAACCTGCCTGTATGCCTCACAGAAAATCTGGGGAGACAATAAAACCACTAGTTTTAATAAAATGCCATATATAAATTAACACGATAACAAAATATTAATTGACCTACTTCAGGCAGACGTGAAGAGAAGTATCTAATATATTCCTGACCAACATTCTTCACAATACTGTCCAAAAGATAGAGGGATGGCAGCTTTTGATCTGCAGGCACCTGCAAAGGGATGGCTTCAAACAATCGAAGTCCTATGAAAACAGTGCAAAGCCAGGCATAAAATCCAACAGGGCATGATTTGTCATATTTTCTATTACTCCAAATGTGTTTCTCAGAGGATGTAATATAATACATATTCAGCACTTTTGGATAGCCCATTATTACAAGGCCATGTGTTGATAATAATTTTCTGAAACAACTTCTAAATAAAGATCAGTCTAGAAATCTATGATATACACTGTCTAATGACACAGGGTTGAGAGTCTTAGTATTATCCTTGTCAACCAAAGATCAATTAGAACGCCCAGCAGCATTGGCAAACCACCACATCTTTGATTGCTTTCATAATCAAGTCTTTTTTAGATAATTCTCCCATATCTAGTATTGATTAAATAAAATAACAGGAATAGCATAGTTGAGAAAGAAAAACTAATGTATACATCAATTACACAAGTAATAATTTGAAGAAAACAATTAGGACTGCTATGTTCAAAGAGGATTGAAAATTTACAATATATTAAGGCATCAAGCATGTTTTAGTTCTTGATAGTTTTACTTTTCAAACCCTCAAGCACACCCCCATAAATATTACTCAATCATATTCCAGAATTAGTTTAATCTTTCCTTCAATCGCTACTTCGTTAATTCCAAACCTCAAAATCTACAGATCCTAGTTTCTTAAACACTTTTAACTTTTGAGATGATGTAATATGAGGGCACGCAGAGACATTTAAAAATTCAGGAAAAAGATAGAGTTAGCAAATAGAACAGCTGCGTGGATAATTGATGCGAATTATGTACAGATTTCTATTTCAGACTGTGCAGACGGGCCAAAGGCTTCATCTTCAGCACAACTTCACAACTGACAAAAATTTTCTCATCATATATACTTTTCACTTTGAGCGCTCTTAAATTGTCCTTAAGTTGAATTAGGAATTCAATGTGTTCCATACTAGAATATCAGCTTCAAGTATAGTAAGATAATCACATGTGCTAATCAGAGACATCGACTTGTAGTACAAATTATAATACTGAACGATTTGAATAGAAGCAAGGCTTCTTCTCTCTTGACCTTTATTAATATTATGATCATTTTTTACAAGGAGCTCATACCAAAAAAAAAAAAATCAGGCTTCGCCTGCGTCCGTGTAACCCAGTTAGGATGAAATTGGAAACGAGAAAACCAAGAACCAATAGAATAATGGCGCAATCCATTTAAACGGGAGTCATGCTTTTCTAATTACCGCTAAACTAAAGTCCCCATCTTCCTTTATAAGTTAGGAAAGAAGCACCGGAAAAAAAAAAAAGAAAGAAAGAAGAAGAAGAAGAAGAAAGGAAAAGGAAAGGGATGAATAAATTAGAAGGAGCGAACTAAAAATTTTGCTATTCGTAGTTGCACAGGCTAAAAACAGAGAACAGAATAGCTTTGATCTCGATGTATTTACAAAAGCTGGGGGGAAAATCTTTCCGCAGCTACCGAGACAGACCTCAAGAATCCGAGTGCAAATTGCATCGGCGATGCCTCTGGCATGCTCAACCTGAAGCTCGGCAATAATGGTTAGATCCGTAATGATAGGCTTCAAGTTGCAAGTGAGGTCCGACAACAGCAATTGGTAAAATTGCACAATTTCTTCAGTGCTAGGGGGCGGCACCGGCGCGTCATCACCAGAGGACGCCCTGAATTCATCCTCGCGTTCCTTTAGCAAAGCCTTGAACCGGCCCACTAGAATCGGAGCGGAAGGCTTCTGAGCGATCTCGTTGGGGATATTGGGTTTTGAAGAGACAATTGAAGCAGTGGAGAACGAGAGGGGTCTAGGGTTTTCTCGGGAAAATAAGAAATTTTGAGAGTCCATGAAATCAGGGCATACACAAAGATGAGGATAAGGATACGTCCGGTAGGATTAGGGCTTTGGATTTGCCCCAACCAGAGAAAGTGAGGAGTGAAACACGGAGGTTTTCCCCTCCCACCATCACCAGAAAGGGCGAGCGCCGAGCGAGTGAGAAAGGGCAGAAAGTTGCGAACTTTCGAAGTTCCACTTGGAACGATGTAGTCCTGATGAAGAAATCGATCGGACGGCTGATAAATACGTATTCATCATGATCGAGTATTTGTAAGCAACAATTAATATATTTAATTCTTTAAATTTTGTATAATATAGCATATCCAATTTAGTCATTTTAAATTACTCCTCAGCTCCTTAACATAAAACCTAATTATTGAGTTGGTTTTAGTTTTAAATATAACATTCATTTCTCATATCTATCAATTTTTTATAAATTACCTTTATGGATATTCTCTTAACTATAATTAAGTAAAAGACAAAAAGAAAGTATTAAGAAAGATGATTACGGTGTTTTAGAAAAAACGTGTCACATTTCTTATAATTAACTAACTTATCTAACTTTCTTAATTTAATCAAATTAGTTAAATGGGTCTTATATTAAGAATCAGAGGATAACTATATAAACTCATGATTCCAGTTTTATTTTTTGGTTTTGGCCAAAAAAAATTTTATTTTTTGTTACAATTATTATCTAATATCTTTAATAGTAATTATCCAAATTCAAGTATTGTTGAATCTACTAATAGCTTTTCATTTAGGATTTTGTGTACAAAATTTTAACCCGCAATCTTTTGCCAACATTTTAACCCACAATCTTACCTAATCCAAACACCATCTGTTAATGTCCAAATTTTAATGGATATTGCATTGCATTGCTCTAACCTAATCCAAACATCATCTGTTAGTGTCCAAATTTCAAAGAAAATAAAGAAAATATATTATTTTATTATTGTAAAGTGATCTTTAAAATAACACATTATCTTATAAAAAAAATCTATCATAAGTGATATATTTTTTACAAGAAGTACTTTTTTTAATTTAAAGAGTGTTAAGTATTAGAAAAAAATTACTTTTTAGGTATTTTTTCGCAAATTAAGACAAACTCCTCCACATATTTACTTCATATACTATAAACTTAAGTGCTTTTTAAAAGTATTTTTGTCTAATGCCAAGCACCTCCTTTGTATACTATAAAATTACTTTTAAAACCATGATTTGGTTTCTATTCAAAAAATTTTTTTAAACCAAGTACAAATAGCATGAAGGAATTTAACATGCAGTAACGTTTACAACGGATTGACTAGACTGTCTTTTTACTTATAATACTCCTCCAATCTTACATTTAAGATTGTCTTACATTTAAGAACAAAGAAGTATATTACTTTAATGGGACTACAGCACTATAGAATTATTTCTTGTGTGATTATGAAGGGTTGACTACTTATGCCAAATAATACTCCTCCGGTCCTAATTATAAGATCCAATTGACTTATTTGAGGAGATTAAGGAAGTAAGTTAAGTTGGTTATTTATAATAAATAAGTGTTGTCATTCCTAAAATATCCTTGCTAATTAAGTATATTGGCTAAAACTATCATTATTAGAAGGATTATCTTGGAAAAAAATGCATAAATATAATAGAAAAAATGGATTGGGTCTTATAATTAGGACCAAATAAAAAGTCAAATTGGGTCTTATAATAAGGACCGGAGGAGTAGCTCATCACAATAAAAATAGCATAAACCAATCTTATAAACTCAGTTAACCAAATTCAAATATGGATTTCAATAAAGACAAAACATAATTTATAAATAATAAAATGGGAGATGAAACAATTGTTAAATATGGCTCAAAATTGATGATCTAGATGCATTTTTGGGTGTTGTGTTTACAACGTTTATATAACACGTCATTTCAACTACCCTAACACAGTCATTTTCGAGCTCCAAAGACCATCTGATGTGCTCCCCTTTACTCATTTTGTGAATGGCATAAAATTAACTTTTTACATCAGTGTTTTTAACACCAACTAATTTGTTGTTTGGAGTTCAACAAATAAATTACACTAATGCCTCATAAATAATATAATTTATTAGAATATTAGAATTCTTATATTATATATATAAACAGATACAGAGTCATTGGATGTCTCTTCTTGTGAGAAGTAAAATAGACTTATCCCTACAATTAATTCATCAGATTTTCTCACTGTATGTTAACCATATACTACCTCTGACCCTTAATATAAGGCTTCATTTGATTTTTATTTTGGTTTTAAATATAAAACCTCAGTCCACTTTGTCTCTTATATTTATATATTTTTTTGCCAAAGTAGCCCTTCTAACAATGATAGCTCTAGTCAATACACTTGATTAGCAATGATATTTTAAGAAAGACAACACCTATTTAGGACAAATAACTAATTCAACTTACTTCTTTAATTTTCTCAAATTAGTCAATTAGCTCTTATAATTAGGACCGGAGGACCGGAGGTAGTATTACCGGTAATTTACTAGAATTTTCATATTATATATACACATACAGAGGCCATGGACGTTTCTTTTGTAAGAAGCAAAAGACATTCATCCCTATCATTAATTCATTATATTTCCTCATTGCAATGTTGACCACGTGTTAATGGTACATCTAAAGTTGAGAGAAAAGCCGGAGAATGAAATCATGAACAGATTAAAAGAATAAGTTAAAGTTAATTATTTATAATAAATATCTATTATTTTTTTAAAAAAATATCCTTATAAATCAAATGAATTAATTTGAAGGACTATCTTAAAAAAAATACATAAATATGAGAAACAAAGTAGATTCTGGTTTTATATTTAATACCAAAATAAAAGTTAAACAAACTCTTATATTTAAGACCAAAATAAAAGTTAAGCAAATTCTTATACTAAAGACAGGAAGTAGCATTAATAACGCAGAATAATATTATTAAATTAAAATAATATGTGAAATAAACTCTTTCATTCTTTCAAAAATGAATATTTTAAGAATTAAGAATTAGTTTAAATCTTAGAACAAATTAATTATATGATTTTTGTCTAAAAACTTAATGGTAGTCTATAAAAAAAATCAAGTGGATAGATAACATTCCATTAGAAAGTCAAATAGTGAAACTTGAAATGAGGAAGAAGGGCTCTCTGCAGCTGGAGCCTAAGGCCTGCGTTTTGCTCCCATCTCCAACAATTGGTGGTAAATTTCTTCTCTCCATGGACAACTTGTGGTACCTTTGCTGGTTTTCTTCCTTACAACCTTCAAATTTTCATCTTCTTTCTTGTCTACTTCTCAAAAACTTTATTATGTGTCTCTTATATCTATGCTTTGGTCTTCTAAAATTTCATTTAAAAATCTGGTTTTGATTTTATCCCTTTATTTTTTATCTTTGGGCATGACCATGCTTGTATCCAAATTTCTCTAGAATGATGCTGCCTCATCTCTGACCAATGATCTAGTATAAATAAATTTTTAGCAAAGAAACAATTTCACCACCCTTTTTTTAAAAGAATTTAAAATAAAGTAATTTTACATTTTATGAAATAAAACTCTTCTCATATATTTATATCAAAATCATATCAAAAGCCGAATTCTCAATGGATGCTCTAAGTATTAAAGGGGGGGGAAAAAAGATGTTGCAGCTCTCAACAGTCAAATTCTCAGCATCCGTCAATGATGTTGAATCTCATCCATCCAAATCAATCAAAAAGTTCATGGTGCGCCATATCATTAAAAATTAAAAAAAACAAAAAGGAAAAACATCTGAACCGTCTTTGAACATTTTTTTAATATTTTTTGTGCGTAAAGAATCTAGCTTGCTGAACCTACCTCACTTTAACAGAAGGATTTACTCAAGTCCAAATGCGCAACTTGATCTGGATTAGTTTGTACCTAAATAAATCTTCCGATTAAAGCGAGATGGGAATAAGAATCTGTGAATACTTCATTGCTAAACTTTGTGACCCTCTATGAACATGTCCAATTCAATCTGGATTAGTTGGGATCTAATTAAATCCTCCTGATAGAGTGAGGTAGATCGAGAGGGCTCGATGCTTAACAAACATATTTTTTCAGTCTTTAATATAGGACTTAATTCTTAAATTAATTTTGATCCTAAATATAAGATCTATTTATCATATTTATTAATTTTTCTAAATTACCTTATGGATACTCACTCAATCATAATCAAGTAAGTGAGTGAGGAAGGATATTAAAAAAGATGATTATAGTGTTTTAAGAAAAACATATCATATTTTTTATAATTAACCAACTTACATAACTTTTTCAATCTAATCAAATCAGTTAAATAGGTTTTACGTTAACAACTATAGGAGTATTATAAACGTTAAAAGGTGGTTTAGATTGATTACATGGCGCACTATAACACAAAATCAATTCCTCACGTCTAATCTAAATGGGGCACTGTAATCCATATTTGCATGCCTTTGCTTGTATTACTCATTGGGCTTGCTTAAGAAATTTTTTTTCTATTAGTTATATATTTATAATTATAATATTTATATATTTTATTTTTATATTGAATATTAATTAATAATATATTTTTATTTATTTTTAGAATATTTTCTAAATTTATTAATTATTAATCTATTTATAAATTTCAATTTGATAATAAATAAAAATCTTCTATTAAAATTTGGAATTTTTTCTGACTTTTGTATGTTGGAGTTGTCTTGCCAGTTAGATCATGGCCCCGACAAAAAAACTAGGGCTGGGCAGCCCGTGGCCTAACTCGTAGCCCGCCCGTTTAGTGCTACATGAATACGGGTTAGCCCGTACTCCTAATCAACCCGGTAAAACCCGTTGTAAACCCGGTACAACGGGTTTTACCGGGTTACGGGCAACCCATTTATATATTAAAATTTTTTTTTAGAAAAATACAAACCCTTTATTTGCTCATCCCTCCTCATTCCTCAAGATAAGCAATCAGCAATCAGGTTCAACAACATCTTGGAAAAAGAAATTATAGATACATGTTTTAGAAGAAGAAAAAGCAATCAGATTCAACAGCAATTTGACAACAACAAAAAAATAGCAGCACTACATCAGCATGGTGAAAAAGAAGAAGAAGGAGAATAAGAGGAAGAAGAAGTCACACGGTCACATCCTCGATAGTGGAAGAGGAGGAGAAAGTGAACAGAGAAGATGGAGGAGGAGATGATC